CACATTTATTACTAATGATAATCTGAATAAATAATTATTCTTCCAAGTAATATAGATCACTAACTTCAGGCAGTTTGTGGTTGCCACGCACTTCAAAATAGGGGGGTTTTCAATCCCATAGAGGAACCATTTTTGGTTCCCCAAAGAACCTTTCAGTGAACAGTACTCAAAATAAGCATGTTTTTCTGTGCGAAGAACATTTAAATAATTTAAAGAACTTTTTTTTTCCCACTACAAAGCACATTTGTGGAATGCAAAGATTCCATGGACGTTAAAGGCTTTTCATGCAACCATTGATGCAAGAACTGTTATTTTTAAGTGTAAGCAACTTATTTATTCAATCAGAATTTGGAGTCTGAACTGTGATATACAGTATATATATATATATATTAGTGCTGTCAAATGATTCATTGCGATTAATCGCATCCAAAATATTTTTTTTGTTTGCATAATATATGTGTTTTCTGTGTATATTTATTATGTATATATAAATACACACACATACAGTATTTTGAAAATATTTCCATGTATTTCCATGTCTATATTTATATTCATATAATTTGTATTATAAATAAATATATTTAATATATAAACATAACATATTTTTCTGAAATATATTGTTCAGTAAACCATTCAAAAAAAAAAAAAAAAAGTTTAGTTTTTCCCCCTGCTGTACCGAAATCATACCGAACCGTGACGTTAAAACCGAGGTACGTACCGAACTGTCATATTTGTGTACCGTTACACCCCTAATATATATATATATATAGAGAGAGAGAAAGAGAGAGAAAGAGAGAGAGAGATTTCAGGGAACATAATATTTTATTAAAAATGCTTGACATTTTGTCCCCAGATTATCTAAACCCTGTTACCATCAAACACTGCCCTTATTACAATAAATTGTAAAAAAGAAAAAAAAATGTAATCATCATACAGAATACAAACGTTTCAGTCAAAATTAAAGCCTCCTGTTTTTTCTTTATATTATGAGTTTGTCAGTACACCGAAAAAATGCTTTTTGATTTTACTTTTAATTTTAGACATACTTTTTTAGTTGAACTTAGGGAGTGTTTACACCAGAGCTGTCCAAACTCGGTCCTGGAGGGCCGGTGTCCTGCAGAGTTTAGCTCCAACTTGCCTCAACACACCTGCCTGAAAGTTTCTATGCCTAGTAAGAGCTTGATTAGCTGGTTCAGGTGTGTTTAATTAGGGTTGGAGCTAAACTCTGCAGGACACCGACCCTCCAGGACCGAGTTTGGACAGCCCTGGTTTACACGATACAGTTTTCACCTACAAACTTTTTATGTCATGTTCATTTACACGACAACAGCGTTTTGAGGGATAGAAAATGCAAACGTTTGAAAACGGGTTTCAAAGTGCAAGGTTTTGAAAATGATACTTTACAGTCTCTGTGACTACAAAAATGTGAATTTGTGAAAATGGTGACATCATGCTCATGCGTATTACGTGTTCAGTCTATAGATATGTGCGTGTGTGCAGCCGTGTGGTGTTCCTTCACAAATGACATCGCCATCTACTGGCCTGGCATGAATAATAAAAATTTTTTTATCGCTTTCGTGAAGTGAATCCGTGTGAACGGGATCATTTTGACATGTCGTCTGTACACAAAACTTTTAAAAAAACTTTTCACTTTTTAAAGAAACTTTTCAGTTTTTTGTACATTGTTGTCAAGTAAACATACCTTCAGTCAATGTTTTTAGTTCTATCAGCTCAGTAACAGTTCATGTGATTCCACCCATATCTAATAATGTTCATTCTACTTGATATACTTACAGTATACTTATGAATCAGTGGTGTACAAACAGCATTCATTAAAATGTTTTGTTGGTCTAACTTAAAACAATTGAATCAATTTATCTGAATTTAAACTGTCTGTGTGTTTGATTAAACTGAAAGAACTGTTAAGTGTTTAATGTGCAGCTATGTTGGACATCTAACAGAGTTTCTGTAGATGGTTTTCTTTGTGGTTAACGCTGTGCTGAAGTGTAGATGTGCTTTGGTTGAATGTGGCTGCCATGCACACAAGTGCTGCACACAGTGTTGCCAACTGCTTTCAATTGAAAGTAGCTAAAACTGGTAGCTAAATGTCACTAGATGACATCACAATGGCAAATTCACTGATCTATATAAAGATGAACGTAGATCAGTGGGCAAGATGAGAACTTAGATAAGGTTTGTCCAAGAAGTTGCTATATTTGTCCCTAAACTTTTGAAAAAAGTCTCAAAAGGGGCGGGGAAGTCGTTAAATCTAGCTACAAAGTAGCTAAATTGCCAACACTGGCTGGCTGCACATTTGTCTGATGGGGAGGAGGAGCCAGTAGAACCAGTCCATCTAAAGCCTTGTCCAAATACCCACACTTGCAGTCTTTGCACTTGACCACTTGATTACTTAAATGACGTATTTCCTGTATTTGGCCGAAGTCTTATTGTACCTAAAGGGTGCATACTTTTACCTTAAAGATACATATTACAACCTAAAGTGAGCATATTAGTACCTAAAAGGTACAAAAGTGTACCTTCTTAAAAAGGTATTGCCCCAATGACTCCCTTTTGTACCTTTTTTTTTACTGAGTGTACCTACACAAACTTCAACAATGGAAACTTTTAAATGTCCAGCATAACTGAACATTAAAACATAACAGGCCTTTCCCTTTACTCAAAACACATAAATAACACCTAATCTCAATCAAACTCTAGATTCATTCCTGTGCAAAGCATGATGGGAATTGGGAACTAAAAATCAATAGCACAGTTTCAGTTTTCCAACCAAACTGATTCATGGACTTCCATTTTACAAGTCTGAAATTGAATAACAATGAAATGACATGAAAATATTCAAGAATTGCACTGCTAATGTAAAGAAGTCTTAACCAATTCTATTGCCTTGATTTTGTACAGTAAAAAACTGAATAATACATTAAATGCTCTTTCTAACAAACCTTTATTACTTTACAGACCTGCAGTTTAGTAATGGCTAAATTAAGTGAAACTGTCAAACTTGGCTACATCCCAATATGCATTAAATATGTAGACTGAGAATTTATAAACACTTAAATATATATTTGTGTAAGAGAATGGAATATGTACTTTAACAGAAATGTACTTTAATTTTTTTTTCAAAATAAAACCATCAACTTATAACCCTTTTGTTTGTCAAAGTGCAAAATATGCTAACACCAAACTACTACATGTGATAAATTACCAAATTGTGTGAAAGTGCATAGTTTACGTTACGTTCGCACAATACAGTGAACCACAAAAATGTTCCTCACAGACCCATTTAAAGGAAACAAAAAGGCTAAAACTGGTAATAAATTTCTCACATATACACAAAACCCATTAATCTCCTATACAAAGTATTTTCTCAAGTGCACTGAGCTTGACTTATTTACAACACTTCAGCTGTAAGTTCAGCGTTGTTGTCATTCAGTTTTACAGCATGACCAGTGTTGGGGAAAGTTACTTTTAAAAGTAATGCATTACAATATTGCGTTACTCCATAAAAAAGTAACTAATTACGTTACTTGGTTACTTTTTATTCATTTTGAGGAATACTGAATCTGTGTTTTTTTTGTTTTTTGTGAGTGAGATGAATTAATGCATATTCATATTTATTTTAGAACTACAGTAACATCTTCTGATTTCTCTCAACATGGGGACAGGAGAGCTGTCAGTCAATAAATTGGAAAAAAAAGTAACTTGCGTTACTTATTTGAAAAAGTAACTCAGATATTCTCTTGTAAATTAAAAAGTAATGCGTTACTTTACTAGTTACTTGAAAAAAGTAATCCGATTACGTAACTCGCGTTACTTGTAATGCGTTACCCCCAACACTGAACATGACAATATTGTAATAGAAATAAACCTGCATGTTTGCATAAGTACTTACACAGAACAGCGAGAAGTACCTGCAGAATATTCATTTTATTGATTTTAAGTCCACAGTGCCATCCAGCATCGAGCTCTCCAGTGTCTCTGCATCCAGTCCAGTGTGAGTGTGAAACAGCCGAGCAGCGCTGGAGCTGGGCGGGGGCGGAGGAGGAAGAGGGCGGATTGCTCGAACACCTCAACTCAGCTCCCACAAACTAAGCCCAAGCTCACACCTTCAAACGCAACCATGTATGGTGAAAGTACGTCGAACAGGTGAAAAGTTCGCCTACCCATTGCGAGGCAACAGAATATGATGAAAATCAAAAGCTTTTGCCAAATTTTTTGGTGCACAGCAAATACTTAGGTATGGCTGTTACTAAATAAAATGGCTACAGATCAACAACAGCTGCATTGGTAAAATCGTGCTAAACGTTATCTTATGGAGATTAAAATTAAAAGCTGAAAGTGTAAAAATGTATAATTAACAGGATGAACTGCAGCTGTGGTTACTTTTGACATGACGTGTTTCCACAGATATTAACATCGTCAATTTAGAAAAGTTTTTTTTTTTGTTCATTTTTTAAATTACATTAATCTATCTATCTATTTTTGTTTGCATTATTTATATTTATTATTTATATTGTTTGTTTGCATTATCTAATGTACAATATCTCCAAATATTAATAGCAATAATGATAAGTAGTAAATTATAAAATAGTAAATAATAATAATCCCAACTATGACAACTTTTGATTCTGAGAACTTTGGAAATGTGAAAAACTAAAATTGTTTTAAAAGGTTTAAAAGTAGTGACATTCTGATATTTTAGGTGTGACTTAAGATGTTTAGCGTCACTGTATACTTACTGAACAATAATTGCTTTGGTAAAGACAAACCTATTAATCATTCATCTCTTTAAGATATGCTTATTCCAGAATAGCCACAAAGAAGAGGAAAAATAAGAAACCAGGCCAACAAAAACAAAGTTTAAAGAACATAATTTAATCTTCCCCCGGGGCTTGAACAATCACAACAGTAAGAGTCATTCATAATAAGTATTTCACATCGAGGAGTTATAACCACAGTGTGTGTGTGTGTGTGTGTGTGTATCATCGTACTGGGGGTTTGTGCATGAGCGAGGTAAACGTCTCCGAAACACTCAACAACAGAAAACAGCAGAACATTAATGAAAAAGACAAACTTCAAATGATGTATTTACAGAATTATTTGTCATGATTTAACTGAGAACCAAGTACAAACTGAAGCAAGTCAGAACGAGAAGGAAGCAGGATCTGACAGAGGCATAAACTTCAGACATTCACCCCACCCTCTCTGTCTTTAAGGCTCTCATGCGTGTACCAACTCATTCGTTCATTCTTTTGAGGCCTAGATAGGAGTGAGCACTGAACGAGAGAGTGCATGAGAGTCAACAGTTGTGAGATGGTTTAAAATACAGTGATATTCACAAGCCAGACCTCCTGGCAGAACCCGAATGGCAGTAAACTGAATATCAGTTATTAATCTGTACATTTCAAGGTAATATTATTCTCATGTAGTCACAGAGGTGAGTGTTTATGTCCCGTTCATGCTGGATTCTCACACAGACCCTCTTGTTCTGACGGATCCGGTTCATTTCCCTGTGGCAAAGTCTTCCTCTTGAAGAAGCCAACCTGGTGGGACATCAGTATTGTATATTATTACAATAAAGCATTTTACTTTGTCAAAATTACAGTGTATTAATACAGTTGCAATTCATGCTAAAACAAAGAGCTCATACCTTCCATAGGATCACCGTAGCTAGAGCCCAAAGGAGGAGGCCGCCAATGACACTTCCTATGATTATACCAATAGGAATATCTCCAATCGCTCCTTCTTTACTCACTGTAATTTTTATCTGCAGCAGAGTCAGGAAAAATTAGATAAAGCATATTACCACACCCATATAAAGTATAGGGTTGTTCCGATAAACTATAGTATCGTGTATCGACGATAGCCAGTCATATCGCCTGTGACTGAAGCCTTTGACGACAGCAAGGCGATTATTATTAGCATGCTAGTAATACGATCTAATTAATATTTATAATTAATATATTTGACAGTGTTGTGCGTTATAACCAATCACACACGATTCTGTTGATTTTATGAATGCAATGGCCAATCAGAGGCGTTCAGATGAGTCATCGCTGAAACACCACAGTTTTGTTGCTCAGTGCATGCGCTCGCTGACTGAATTCTGCTCTCTCGCGAATTCTCTCATCATAAACAAAGTGCAGATGTACGTGTGATGTAAGTATAAGACATTTATTCATTATATAGTGTAGATAGCTTCATTGATTATAACGGGAGTGTTTTTTAAGTGCATAAACTCGCGCTAGACTGAAGTCAGTGATGATGTTCTTTGCTCGTTTTCTGTAGCTGCTGTTTGAATAACTGAGGGAATGTAAGCATTATAATTAGTAACTTACAATGTTTATGTTAAATTGTTATCATGTTAAATACAAATTCAATCATATTATAAACATTAGGCTGATTTTAGCCTTACCCTGGAGTTGGATTACTCTCTGGCTATAAAACTAGGTAAGTAAATAATTAAAAAACAGGAAAAGTACATAATTAAATAAATTAGCATTATAATATTGTGTATCGCCTTAAATATTTAAATATTAGTTGTATTTTACGCACACACACACACACACACACACACATATATATATATATATATATGTGTGTAAATAATTTTTTTTTTTTAATATATTTTTTAAAGAAAACCTATTTGACAGTGTGGTCTGTTATACAAGTAAACTTAATTAAAGACATTGAACTACTTAATTCCAAACTTCCACTTCTCAAGTATGTCATTTTAAGAATGTTTATGCTTTTTATGGGAAAACATAACAAAAGTGCTTAAAACAAGCATACTGGTCAAAAACCAACTTCCGTATTAGTTCTGCTGATGAACAGAACAGCTATGTTGGTCAACCAACAAGATGTGCACCAGACTAAACCAGCCAAGCACAGAAAATCACTCTAAGCCAAGCTGGTGTTTTTTTTTTAGCAGGGTTGATCATCTTAAACACAACTGAAAGACGGGGGGATGAACTGACCTGTTGTTGTTTGTGTGTGACGACTATGAGATCAGGCTGAGATGTTTGTATCTCAGAGCTTCCAGCCACTAAAACTGTCTGAAAATCAGCCTGGAGGGAAGTAAAGCGGGGAATAAAGCATCTGCTCAGGACAGATAACAGAAATAGTAGATAGGGATCAAGCAGTTCAAGAGACACTTACAAAGGCAAATGTGCCATTCCAGATCCTAGTGGTGATGTTTACAAAGTAGTTGGTCTTCATCTCCAGATCTTTGAGGACACAAGTCATGGTTTCACATTTTGCTGCCTTACAATCCTGGAAATGAAAATGTATACTGTATTATACACTACCATTTAAAATAGTGCGTGGGGTTGGTACGTTTTTTTTTTAATGTTTATTAAACAAACGTCTCTCCAGCTCACCAAGATGCGTTTATTTGATCAAAAATAAGACAGCAATATTGTGAAATATAATTATAATTTCAAATAATTGTTTTCTATGTGATTATATTTTAAAATATAATTTATTCCTGTGATCAAAGCTGAATTTTTAGCATCATTTCTCCAGTCTTCAGTCACATGATCCTTCAGAAATCATTCTAATATGCTGATTTGCTGCTCGAGAAACATTTATTATTATTATTATTATTATGTTGAAAACCCAGAACGCCCATATTACAGCATGTATAATTTAATATAAACACACACGCATACTGACCAGTTCTGCTGTCCCTCTGAAGCTCTCTTTAGTGAAGCTGGCAGTGTGTGTTTTCTCTCTGATCTTCAGTGGGTCAATCAGATGGCTGCTATCACACCACACATTTACAACCTACTCAGCAGAAACAACAGAGATTAAACGTCCTGGTTTTTCATCCCAGTCTGGTAATTACAGTATAAATACTTGTGCAGTGAAATACTTTATTTGTAAAGAAAATGATAGAAAATAATTAACGTTTCTTAATACATTTTAATAGAGCATTATACTTACAGGTGCCGTTTTGACTGAAATCACATATAGTAAAGGATTTCCAGCTTTGGTGCTGGTGGGCAGCGAGACGGTCAGATGAGCCTGATCGATTGGGAAAGTTCCTGTTGAAACCTGCAGAAAGACATGCTTAAATTAACTATCGCATAGTTCACATTGTTAACACTAGAGGGAACTTGAGACATATTAGTTTAATGTGAAATATACTTTTTTTTTTTTACTCACTTGTAATGTTATGTCGAATTCTGGGCCAATGTCATCGAAACCTGAGACAGTATGTTTGACTTGATCCTCAGAACCAATGCCGCAAAAATCCAAGTTTAAGTCTCTAGAAAAATAATTGAAAAGAAGAAATGGAACTACAGTTTTTACATTACAAAAACTTACGAGCCTTTTTTTCTGTGATAGAGGTCAAGGTTAATATACAGTATATAGCGGTCAAAATACATACAGTGGTCTAAAGTTTGGAACAATTAGTTTTTTTTAGTCTGCATTATCATACATTTCTTATTATTATCAATGATGAAAACAGTTGTGCTGCTTAATATTTTTGAGGAAACCATGATACTATAATTCAAAGGTTTTAGGGTGATTAAAAAAAAATAGCAATGAATACTTTCATTTAACAAGAATTCATTAAATTGATCAAAAAGTAACAGTATAGACATTAATAATGTTACCAAAGATTAATCCTGTTCTTGCTCTCTTCATCAAAGAATCCTGAAAAAAGTATCAATGTTTCCACAAAAGTATTGAGCAGCAAAAACTGTTTTCAACATTGATAATATTAATAACTGAGCAGCAAATCAGCATATTAGAATGATTTCATGTGACACTGAAGACTGGAGTAATGATGCTAGAATTTAGCTTGAATAAATTACATTGTAAAATATGTTGCAATAGAAAACAGTTATTTTAAATTGTAATAATAATAATTCACAATATTACTGTTTTACTGTATTTTTAATCAAATAAATGTAGTCTTGGTGAGCAGAAGAGACTTCTTACATTAAAAAACTGAATTATTTCAAATGTTTGACCACTTTACAAGCAGATAAAGGTGATCAAAGCATTACTTTGACCTCTGACCTGGTGAGGATGATTTCGGCATCATACTGGACAGGGATGGAGAGAGAGACCTTGTTATCAGATGTCACCTCCTCCTCGCTGTCACTGGAAACAGTTATGTAGGGTTATTTACAGTTTAAACCAAACAGTTACACAAAAGTTAGAACAGAACTGTGTTAAAAACAGTACTTTTACCTTTGCACTTCAAAGTTCACAACAGCCTGTTTCTCTAGTTGATTTAAGTTGAAGTCAAAGTTGATCTCAAATGTTACCTGATGAGGCAAAATGAAATTATTAAAGAAAATGAAAAGTGTCTCACACACACACACACACACACACACACACACAGATGCTTTTCTCTTACTGTCTGGCCAGGCGTCAAGTTTGGGTATCCAACTCTGCAGTCGAGTGAGCCTGTTTTTGAACTGCATTTCACCTCAGTGTTGTCTCCCTGCACACACAAGCCAAGAAGATTCACAGAGACAATTTCTCGTACACAAACCAGAGCAGACTTATGCCAGAACACAACATGGTGGCCGTACAGGTGGTGTAAAAGAGGCGTAGAACAGGTTCCTGGAGAAGTTAGCAGACACTCTTGTGTTGTACGCATTTTCCTTCATGTTCGTTACTGTCACGACGAAGGACAGTCTTCTTCTGTCAGGTCTGACTAGAAGTGAAGATGAGCTGCAAAACACAACAAAATCTTTTTACATTTCAGGATTCTGGTTCTTTTAATACATCTAGCCCTGCTGGTAGTAACTGATTATTTTTAGTTGACTCTTAAAGGGACAGTTCACACTAACAAAAAGTCTGTCTTTCTTTCTCTCCTATAGATTCCCAAACATCTTTTTCAGCAGAACCGATTTGACTTTTTACTTGAAGCACTCCCTGATATTTTGAATTAATTTGAATAATTTAACATCACATTTACATGTTCATGGTTCTCTGATGTCAGTTAATGTAACTTGACATGCATATAAACCAATAATGTGATATGCTTCAAATATCTTTTTTAGTACATGTTTGATTTAGATTTTGGGCAAATTAGCGTGAGAGCACAATTCCAAAACAGCGCAGATGGGCGTGGAAATTTCTGCGGGTGATTTACTGACAATGCGCCAATTAAAGAGCGCAGACGCAACATCTTATTTACATACGCAATCTACCAAGCGCAACGTAAATTAGCGTGAGGATATGTTCGGATTGGGATAATGTGTTCTTCTGGCATTCCAAACAAATTAATTTATACGTGTGGAAAAAATCCTCTCCGTTCTACCATGTGCTCTCTGTTCTCTGCGGTGCCTCCTCCTAGCAACAACAAATGCAGCCATTTCAAGCGCAAAATAGTTTAAGACATGCTTTTTTGGGCGTTAAAAATGTGCAAACGTTAGTATATCGGTGCATGATTCATTTGAATACTCTCCTCCCATACATTTTGCGTCTGAAAGGGTAAATCCTGACAGTATACTATTTTAACACCAAAAAGACACTAGTAAATCTGACCCTTTATTTTAAAATTATTAGATTTAGTTTTTATTTTCAAATTATTTATTTATTTTACATTTTAAGTAATTATTACAAGGAGATTACTGAATAATCTCCTTGGTCTGGCCTTCATACAAAGTTGAATAGACGGCTCTTATGATATTTATCACAGCATTTATTGTTATATTTCTAGGTTTTATATTTTTTATTTATATTTCCAGTTTTAATTTTAGTTTAAGTTTTAGTAATTTGGTTTTGAAATTTTGACATTTTTATTAGATTTTCCTTTATACATACATATACATATATATATATATGTGTGTGTGTGTGTGTATGAGGGGCCGTACAAGCCATAATTCATTCTGGCACTCTCACACACTTACATTCTCCTTTCACATACATATATTTTTGCTTTCACACACTTACATTCTCCTTTCACATGCATACATTTCTACTCTCACACACACATACATTCTCCTTACACATGGTTAGTTGGCAAGGCAACATTTCAATTTTTTGTTTTGTTTTCAAGTTTAAATTTTCATCTTATATTTACATTCTTAGTAGTTTTACCATTTTACATTTTACTTTCATTGTGTGTGTTTTTGTGTAAGGTTACCTAGATACATGAACAGCTTTCACAGTCAGCTTCAGGTCACAAGAGCATTTGTCATCAGAGCCACAGTCCTTCACAAAAGGGATCTGAGCAAACAGGAATACATTTGAGACAGTTTAAAAACTTTGAAACGATTGAAACTGATGCCCTTAATTATATTCAGAGGGAAGCTTACAAAAAATTCCCACGCTTTGGGCTGAAATGCATCCAGGGCAGGGCCCGTGTCTGGATTCTGTGGACTGATGTCGACTCGCAAAGCAACTGGACTCACAAAATCAGGAGTCTCCTGTTAAACAATAAAAGTAAAATGATGTAAAATGATCATTCAAGCACTTTGAAATGAAATGAAGCTAGAGTACAGAGAGTATTGTTATTCTGAACAGCGTGAGGCTTGTGGTAAGTGGCAAAAACTCACCTGCACATAGACATTATGATCAACACAGCTTTCTTTGTCAGAGACGCTGACAGGTTTCTGGATAAGTCGCTCTGAGTTGTCAAACTGGGCTCTTGAAGTGGCTCTAGATGACTGCAGGTCAGCGTCAAGAGTCAGGTTGTACTTGATGTCTAAACAAAAGTGTATTTCCATTCACTTTCATGGAGATTTTTGGAGAATATATGAGATACAAAACACATGAGAGACAACCTTACCTACTTTACCGGCTAATACTGTGGGTCTGAATTTTGATCTGAAACAGACTTTGGCACTAACACACGACACCATCCTTCCTCCAAACATGCAAGGTTTACTCAGAATGCTGATCTTCTCAGGGCTGAAGGAGACCGTCGTTGTGACAGCTGCAACTCCCCTTGACCTGAGATCATAAATACTGGATGAGCATCACGGTTTCATTATGATTTTATAGATCTTAAACAACTAGACCGAGATCCTCACCAGAGCTGCACTGCCTTCCCAGCCGCTCCGACTGAAATATCAGGGATTGAGTCACCGTTCATATCAGCACGACTATCTAAAGAGCGTCCAAAGAAACGAAGCGCTGGGCCCAGTTTGGATCCCAGTATTTTCTGCAGAAAATAACAAGAGAGACAACAAAATAAGAAGACTTGTTTTAGTATGAAGGGAAATAACAAATAAGACAAAAAGTGGATATTTTAATGCATCTTAGTTCTTAGAAATGTACTCTTTGTATTAACATTGGTTTCATATGGTATGTTTACACCATTTTCAAGAAAAGCTATAATGAAATTATTTAATATCTTTTAATGATTTAATATATATATATATTTTTTACAAATAATAAATTAATTAATTAATTCACTTTTCATATTTTTGTGTAGTCGCACCACATGACATTTTACAACCAGAAATAACCTTGCCTGGTCATAAAAGATCAAATTATCTGATATTTTTTTCTCCATGTAAGTTGCACCGTCTTTCATTAAGTGGACAAATGTTTTTTTAAATATGAATTAAAATAAAATAAATTAAAATTTTTTAAATATTAATAAAAAAAATATATATATTATTTATAAACCGAGCATTCTCCAATGCGGAGGGTCCCTCTAACCTGCCCTGGTTGCTTAAGATGCCCTGTGAACAACATGAGGCAAGATGGTCAACCTTTTTAGGACCTGCTTTGAGTGAAGATTAGTTTTACATGCAGTAAATGTTTCACCTTGGTAATGGTGAAGATGTAGACTCTTCCTGTTTCAGATTTCTCCTCGCTCATGTACATCGGAGCTCCGACCAGCAGCAGATCAGTCACACCGTCAGCGTCCACATCAACAGGACAGAGAACGCTGTTTTAAACAATGAATACTTAAAATTGTTTATTTTCTGTAATGAATCTCACTGCTTATTGTATTTCACATAATGTTCTCTCATTTCAACTTGCATAATAGATAAAAAAATGCATAATTGTATCGTATCTTGTTCACGTAATGTTTTTTTTTTTTCATGCTGATCTCTCACTCACAGCAATGCCAAAGCGAATGATGCCATCTCTGTTGCATCTCTCAATGACCTCTTGACCTTTAGAACCATCAGCAGATTCTCCATCTGTTACCACCACCAACACCTTAGTGGCACCGGGACGACCACCATTTTCTGGTAGGAAAGCTGTTTGTCTGAAACACAAAGAATGTTTTATTTCCCCCACAAATAAAATAAAATAAAATAAAATAAAATAAAATAAAATAAAAGTCGGTCACAGACGCCACAGAGTATCCTGAACACAATGCATTTGTTTAATCAAAAATACAGTCAAAACAGCATGTTACACTACCATTCAAAATTTTGGGGTCAATATGATTTTTTAAATGTTTTTGAAAGGAGTCTCTTATGCTCAGCAAGGCTATATTTATTTAATAAAAATACAGTAAAAACAGTAATATTATGAAATATTATTATAATTTAAAATAACTCTTTTCTATGTTGATACATTTTAAAATTACATTTATTTCTGCGATGCAAAGCTGAATTTTCAGCATCATTGCCCCAGTCTTCAGTGTCACATGATCCTTCAGAAATCACTCTAATATGCTGATTTGCTGCTCAAGAAAAAAATCTGATTATTATCAATGTTTAAAACAGTTGTGCTGCTCCCCATTTTTAAATGATTAAATAATATTTTTGATCAGTTTAATGTATCCTTGCTGAATAAAAGTATTAATTTATTTAAAAATGAAATCTTACTGACCCCAAACTTTTGGACAGTAGCATGGAGAGAAGGATGACTGGAGCGTAAACTGTGGGCTCACTTCAGCACACACTCCTGGGTAAAAATACTGACTGCCACAGCGCTGAGCCCACAGAGGACCACACGTCTGAAACACAAACATACCATCAGCTTTCTACAGTTTCATATCTTGTACCTTGAGTATGTCAAGGACTGAATGAGTGTTTTGAGTAAGATCCCGCCCCCTGATGGAGACACAATGCTACTACAGCATACCATCAATGTGTTAGGTTTAGCTATTGGAGTGAGAGTCAGGCCCAGACTCATGTTGACATTGATGCTCTGCACACCATCTATGCTGATAGAGTCTGTGAAGACACAGATATATTTTCACGACAAGTGGGAAAAATTTAAATTATGTTAATTCTATTTGAATGGACTTTAAAGGACTTCAAAAGTATTGTGGTGTCAGATAGTTTAAAAACAATGGTGCTGTATCATGTCCAAACGCCCATGGTCATACCACAATACTTTTTGCAAGTGCATAATTATTTAAAATAAAGAGAAATTTACCTGCAAGGTTTAGTTTCTGGCAGGTGGCTCTTCTTGAAGCACTAATGTCACACTTATAGAGATTTCCTTTTCTATTCTGAGGGTATCCACTCCAGGGAGAACCCACCAGCAGCCTGAGCAAAAATAACCATTTCTCTATGCAATCAAACTAATTATGCATGCAAATTATTTTTGCCCGTGCTTATGATATATTTCCATATACTTAGGGTATATTTCAACCAAAAATGAAATCTTCAGGCAATTCAAGATGTAGATGAGTTTGTTTCTTCATCGAAACAGATTTGGAGAAATGTATCATTACATCACTTGCTCACCAAAGGATCCTCTGCAGTGAATGGGTGCCATCAGAATGAGAGTCCAAACAGCTGATAAAAACACCTTGTGAAGTGAAAAGCTGCGTGTTTGTGATAAACAAATTCTTCAGATGTTTTTATCAGCTGTTTGGACTCTCAAAATAAAATAAAATAAAATAAAATAAAATAAAATAAATAATAAAATACCTGACATTGTCAAGTGCTTCAAAAGTGTTGGTTTCTGTTCCAGTTTTTTGCTCAATACCAGAAGCTGCTGAAAGAACTTTGTCTTTATTTTGGTCAGAACTAAAATGATAAAGAAAGGACAAATCCTCTGAATACTGCATTATACTGACCTAAAAAAGAAACAAAATCCCAATTAAGTCATATCATATAAATCAAAGACAAAATCAGATCAGAATAAGGTAAATAACAGTACTTACTCGAGTTTTATCTGGTCCGATATCGAGATTTTCCAAAAGCTTTATGAGAAAGTTTCTAACATCAGGCCACGGATATATACTGTTTGATCCATCCAAAACAATGGCAACATCCATTGGCCCACCACAAGCTGAATGAGAAATTCAGATTAAGAATCACTAACTTACCCTATAAAGTATTTTGTACATTTCTGACAATACAAAATAAGATGTACTTTGAATGGCAGGAGAGAAGGATGACTGGAGCGTAAACTGTGGGCTCACTTCAGCACACACTCCTGGGTAAAAATACTGACTGCCACAGCGCTGAGCCCACAGAGGACCACACGTCTGAAACACAAACATACCATCAGCTTTCTACAGTTTCATATCTTGTACCTTGAGTATGTCAAGGACTGAATGAGTGTTTTGAGTAAGATCCCGCCCCCTGATGGAGACACAATGCTACTACAGCATACCATCAATGTGTTAGGTTTAGCTATTGGAGTGAGAGTCAGGCCCAGACTCATGTTGACATTGATGCTCTGCACACCATCTATGCTGATAGAGTCTGTGAAGACACAGATATATTTTCACGACAAGTGGGAAAAATTTAAATTATGTTAATTCTATTTGAATGGACTTTAAAGGACTTCAAAAGTATTGTGGTGTCAGATAGTTTAAAAAAATTACATTTATTTCTGCGATGCAAAGCTGAATTTTCAGCATCATTGCCCCAGTCTTCAGTGTCACATGATCCTTCAGAAATCACTCTAATATGCTGATTTGCTGCTCAAGAAAAAAATCTGATTATTATCAATGTTTAAAACAGTTGTGCTGCTCCCCATTTTTAAATGATTAAATAATATTTTTGATCAGTTTAATGTATCCTTGCTGAATAAAAGTATTAATTTATTTAAAAATGAAATCTTACTGACCCCAAACTTTTGGACAGTAGCATGGATATGAAAAGATAAAGTTACATGACCTCTATATTTGCTTTCGTTCATTCAAAATACTTTACAGTTCGTTTTCTGGCTGGCTCACCAAGTAATGAACTGTGGTTTCTGTCATCTAGATCAGAATGAGAGTCCAAACAGCTGATAAAAACATCTGAAGAATTTGTTTATCACAAACACGCAGCTTTTCACTTCACAAGGTGTTTTTATCAGCTGTTTGGACTCTCATTCTGACGGCACCCATATTTAAAAATGAAATCTTACTGACCCCAAACTTTTGGACAGTAGCATGGATATGAAAAGATAAAGTTACATGACCTCTATATTTGCTTTCGTTCATTCAAAATACTTTACAGTTCGTTTTCTGGCTGGCTCACCAAGTAATGAACTGTGGTTTCTGTCATCCAGGATTTTCTCGAATGCATTTTTGAGGAAAATGTGTGATTTCCCAGCTGTTTGATGGACGACGGTCCCGCTCCATCCATACGCTCCGACAGCACCCAGCATGATCACATCCTGTGAGACAAAATGCCACCCCGTCATGCCTTCATTTCTTCTGAATCAGTATGGTACATCAGAAATTAGTTTGACTACTCAATCAGATATGTTGAAAGATTACTGGCACCTTCTTATTGGTCTGATGTGCGCTGAATCCAACTTGGGACATCTCCAGCTGAAATTCCTGACCTTGACTGGTGCCTCAAATCAAACAAGACAAAATATTCGAAAGCTTATCCTAATTTAAAGCTGGTTTTTTTTAGTTAAAAAGGTGACCTGTTGTCACTGGATGAACAAAGTCGTTATTCATTTGGCATATGTGAATGATTTACCTTCAATGTTAAAGATCCTGTCCCCCAGAGTTCCTGCGATATTGATTAGCGCTTGCTCTGATGACACATTGAACATGTAGTTCTCTGTTGGAGCGCTAGCGATCAATTCAATCTCCTCTATGAATTTTTGAATATTGGCACTTTGCTTGAGAATCTGAATAAATTCATAGATGACCGTAATACGTCAAATTAAAAAATTATGTTTGTCTTGTAAACAAAATAAAACAAAATACATTTAATTCAAGACATACTCTAAAAATAAAAAAAATTAAAAAACGTAAAATTAGGTACTTTACACTCTAAAAAAATGCTGGGTTAAATATAACCCAGCGCTGGGTTTTTGTTTTTGGGTGTATTATTCCTTTAAGATTGGTAGAGTGCCAAATAATTTTCCTTTAGAATAAATGACAATTCCTGGTATTCCGGACAGGAATTAGTCATAAACAAAGCCGTCTCAAATTCCCCACTGTAATCTGTGAGTGAACTGTGACTCAAAGACACTTCCAGAAATAGACTTTGGACCCACATTTTTTTTTTTTTTATACATTTTGAACATGTTTCAGAAAAATGTCTGGCGTATGACATATCTTACCATTTTCCTTGATCATTGCTTATCTGTTGTACAGTGTAGCCAAACTCTTCTACCGCAAGACCTGAGAAGATTTTAGCCCCTGCAGTTCCCACATTGAAACCCTGAGTGTGAGCAATACAGAAACCTGCGGGGAAAAGTTTGACATTCTCAGCTATGATTTTAGACCCTATTTTGTTTGGAAATGTATATTCACATACAGTATATTTAATACGGTTCTAGTTCGTCAAAAAACTTTTTTGCCATGAGACATCTGACATTGGTAAGCCTTTTCTATGACCAGCAGTATGTCGGCATATTTCAAACAATACTGATAAGTCGAAGTGAGAACCCAACCCTTTTTAGACTTAACACCAAACACACCTTCACAACAAACAATGGGACTTATTATACACAGATTTATCTGCATCAACACAGATTTATCATGTACAAAAGTATATTTATTTTTTAATAGTATAGATTCCAAGAGTGAGTGAGAAAATGAATGAATGAATAAATAAACAAATACATAAAATCGATTTTTGTTTTCATACAGAAAAATAGATAAATAGATACATTTACCTGAAAAGCAAAATTGGTTAAATTAATAGTTTAAATCTTCATTTTTCTTTTTCAAATGGCAAATTGGTATTTATCAATTTAGTTAGATTTGTGATTAAAACAATAAAGAAATGTCATGGGTAGGGGAAAACAACTTAATTCAACATGCAGTATATTGTCTGAAAGTACAATTGTACAATTCATACAATTTAAATTGTATATTTTTAAGTTGATCTTGTTTAAGGAGGTTAAGATATTTTTACTGACAGTAAGTATATAAAACAGTTTCATTATAGATCATTACTACAAAATCTTTATTTGTTGCAGCTTGAAAATATTAACATGTCTGTCCACCCAAATGTAAAAAGTCATGAAAACTATGAAGATTAATAATTTGTAAACATCATATGGTAAGCAAAACAAGTACTTACTCTGCAATAATAGCAGTAGTATCACAACTTTTTCCACTTTGTCCATTGCTGGAGAAATTGCTAAGAAAGAGTAGATGTGTGATGTCTCCAGTCCTACTGTAACTGTTATAATGAAACAACCTGAACTATCCCCATAGCTCAGAGGATATGATGTAATAGCAGCGCTCCTGTAAGATTAGTATCTTCCTTTCATGTTGACATTATGCAACATGCCTACCACAAATAATTGACCAATGACCAAATAAGGAAGCTTGTGGCTTATTGTAACGGGCGTCACGCTTTTCATTTGACACTTCGTAAAAATCCAAGTGAAAAAGGGAAAGATAAAAAGAGCAGATTATAAACTACGGAGAAGCTAATAAAAGACACAATTTAGACATCAAATCATATTCGAAAACCGAGTCTTAATATATTTACAGCATGTTGAGAAATAGGCTATGCGCTGCTATTTTCCTGCGTTTCACTAGACTGGGCGAGGACAGGTGGGCGAAGGGGCGGAGTCATAGAGCTGAGGAAGCGCTGCACTATTAGTCATACTCATCATGAGTGTGCCCACTGCAGACAATGACACACACACACAATGATTAACCCAAGACTCCTGACGGGATTTTATCTCTCAGACTGGGATGTAATTGAGGAGTTTACCTAACTGGCATAGTTTCAAAGCAAACAGGAAATGTTTAAGCAATATCCCAGACAGCTTGCTCTATTTCTGCTGAATTCTACTATCGTCAAGACTCACGATGTAAGCCACAACATCTGGCCAATAAAACACATTTTTAAAACACGGTGTTTCAGATGTTATTTAGGAAGCAAAAATATTGATGATTAAGTTTTTTGCCTGTTATCAATATCAATTCATCCATCTATCCACCTTATTTTTAAGAACGGTCATGTGCGAGGCTTTCGTTCTCGTTTGCTTCCATATATTTTATCTGTACCAAAACAGTCCGTAATTCTGCTTAATTTATATTCCGAACCGTTATATTTGTTATCATTTTATTTTATTATCATCTTCATGAACACACTATTTTGTAGCGCAAATCGTTTTACTGTTTACTTTGTCATTCTTTTATAGTGGCTAAATCTTCACATTTAAATAAAATAGCTTAACTGTAGCATTGCAAAATAAGATGGGTAAGCATGGTCATTCACTGCACTGATGTGGTCAAGAAACACTTACCAGTAATAAACTTTAGCTGGTTCCAGCCATCAAATTTGATTGTTATGCCAGTAGGTGGCAACAGGTGACTATCTTAAAGGGATAGTTCACCCAAAAATGAAAATTCCACTTTATTCAACAATTTCTTCTCTTCCTTGTCAGTCTTTGACGCATGTTCACGACAGTACCACAACGCATAAGTGTGCATTGCTCTGCTTGTAAACAAGGCACAGCGCATCCGAGTTCTCCGTCAGAACTCGGCTACTGCGTCAGCAGCACCACATGCATGCGTCATGCGTCTTAATTTGTGTTCTAAAGATGAACGGAGGTCTTACGGGTTTGGAACGACATGAGTATTTGACTTCCTGTGGAAATGATTTGAAATGGTTCCAGCAGCAGAACTCTGAAGCAGCGGACAGCGACGTCTTTATTTGCGCCATTTTCAAACGTCCACAACCGGTGAATGGAGAACGCCGTGATTGGAGGTGTTTTTGTTGTGTGTCGTGTGTTTTGTGATAACGGAGATGGAATGTGTTGTGATATTTTATTCAAAAATATGAGGTATGGCTATAACCATAATCAATATACTGATCAATATGGTGATTGTTTCAATGATTGCTTCAATATTGTATGTCTTAATATAGACTGTGAGTCTTAGGTGCCCTCTAATGGGCAAGTATGGTGCTTTCCATTGGGCAGCGCCAATGAACTAGAGTGAACCAGTGAACTTTGGGTGACTTCCAAGAATATGTATACATACATATATTTACATACTGGTAAAAAATGTATAGCCTGAATGCACAGTAAGTCACTTTGGATAAAAGCGTCTGCTAAATGCATAAATTTTTTATTATTATTATTATTATTAATTAATTATGTCAAGGATGGCACAAACAAGTATGATGAATGGCCATGAGGACACCTGCATTTAGGGAGAGGGTGAGACTAAGGTTGAAATGGAAAATGGTTCAAACTAGCGGGAGCCTACGATTAGAACGTAAACCAAGAGGAGTATGAATTAATTGTAGCAAAACTAGTGGAGTAAGACCAATCAGAGGCCGAATTGTCATTTTTTGGTTGAAAAGACTGATAAGAACAAGGTATAAGTATGGCTGCCCGGACAGACGAAGACAGATGTGGCGGCTGTCATCTCGGCTTTGTTGCTGTGTTCAAGGAAGTCTTATTTTGACATCTGGAACTCTGCTTCTTGAACTTTGACAAATTTGAGAAGACCATTGTTTGTTCCACGACAAATGTAAACGCACAATTTACACGATTGAAAGAGCATGAAAATCTGACTAAATCTCCTATGACAACTTGTAGTGTTACATATCATGGAGGCAACAAAACGCAAAACACTGAATACAATAGGTGAATGCCGTTATCACCGTTTTCCATGTTCGTGGAGTAAATATTTTTACATGGCTGCGTTTGGCCAATCAGCGTACACTACCTCACTGGTATTTCCAATAGAACTGTTTTAGACCCTACTCTGAAGTAGGAGCTAATTTAGTTCCCCCAAATGGAGTTCTTAGAACTAAACACATTCCTAGTTCCTGTGGTGTGAACAGACCAAAAGTGAGAACTTCAGCCAATAGTTCTAGGAACTATGAAAAGGTTCCTCCGGTGCGAAAACCCCTTCCTCCGGTGCGAAAGTGCCTTTACACAACAATTGGTTCCAGTCATTAAATGTATTTGGCTGAGCATTACAGTGTTACATTTAGGGTTGGGTATAAACCCGGTGCCAATATGGCACTGGTACCTATGTAACCGGTATGTACTAGAACTGAATCAGAACGCAGATTTCGGTGCCTCATTTCGGTGCCACCAATGCTTGAGCGATTGATTGAAATATTTGTTCTCTGGTTCTCCAAAATGGACGTAAGGATCACCGGCACCGCACGTGAAAAATAATTTCCCTAAAAAGGCTATGTCAATTAACAATGGATTAATTATGATGAAAATACCAAAGATGGCTTGAACAACACAGATAAACTATACATCGTCGCAGTCGAGTGTTTATTGTCTTTGTTTTATCATTCAAAACGTTTATATCTTCTGTTTACTCAGTTACAGAGACAGCAATGCCTTTGTCCATATTAGGGATTTCCTGAGTCCTATTCCTTCTGTGATGCACATGTGGAGTTTCTGCGCGAGGGCGCCCTCTGGCGTCCAGTATGACTGAAACAGACATTAAATGTGTTTATAGCGCTCAATAATTGCCAATCCATCCTATTTTTTTTTTTTAAGTATCGGTTCAGGCACCAAAAAAACACAAAACACACACACACAAAACCCTACCAGGACTGTGTTTGCTCAGAGATATGCAGAGTTTCTGCTTTGGCTTAGTTTTG